AAATCGACTGCTCCAAAATTTATATTATTTTATATATATATAAAAGTAAATCATCATATCTTTCCTTTCCTAGGGGGTATTCCATCCCCCAGACCCCCCCCCCCCCCCGATATTACATTTTCCACTAAAACATTTACAGTATTCACTACCCTTGCCCCCCCCCCCCTTCTATTTTGCCTCTCTCCATTTCTTATTTCATTCTTTACTTATTATCTTTCTTTCACGGAAGGGGGGGTGAGTATTCCATTAAAAAAAATTAGAACCGTGTATGTGGTAACTAATTTCTTTTGGGATGGTGACCGTGTGTTATGTCAGTGTTCATAAGAATATACTTTGGGAATATACTGGTAGCGTATATTGAAGACCCATAATAGTGTATTACGGATGCAATTTATTTAATGAAAGTAGTTTCTTGATTTTACGTTGAAATAACCGCGAATATACTTTCTATTGGTGTTTACTGAAATATCCATCTGTCAGTCTGGGGAATATAACAACTTTTGGGTGTTCGCGTTTGAAATGTTCTAAAATAAATTGATGTAAAGATATTCAAACTGCAATTCAGGTGCGTTTTTATCTACCTGGTGCGATATTTCATTGTATATTCTTGGGATATTCTTAAGTATATTCCTCAGAATATTCAAGTAGTATCTTTGGGGACTATTCCGAAAGGGTGGAGAACTTTTTTACTCACTTTTTTTAGGATGAAATGTTTCTAAAATGTGATTCAGTCATCCGCGCGTAATTGTGCCTTGAAAATAATGGGAAAAGCGTTCCGACGATCACGTAAATTACGATTAATGTAGAACAAAATTTCCGACATGTCATTTTAAATTCGCTTATCAGATTTATATTACGAACGCACAATGGCCTCAATTTTGCTAATTTAAATCAGAAACTAAGTTCCGGAACGTCAGCGACGTTATGATAATAGACTTATTCGCGTGTTTTGTGCGTGCGTACGAAACAAACAAAAAAAGAAAACAGAAGGCATTAACTTAATTGGGTTTTTCGAAATTGATGCGCGATGATGTCGTGTCTCGGAAAGGTGAGATTAAAAAAGGACGATAAGGACGAATGACAAACTACGTAATAATTCCATTAGATGTCGGTACAAATTGGTTAATGAGGGTTAATTGGACATCGCAAGCTCCAATAATTATATGGCAGTCCGATTTGTGTTTCAATTAGACGAAAAGGACGAGGAGGTAAAAAATCGCACGCGACGTTTGGAATTCCCTTGTCAATCGTCAGAATGTTATACGACAGGTGTCTTCATTAGACATTCATGCAACCCCCAACCACGCAACATGCAAAGGTCGAAATTGCTCACGCATGATCCCGATCCGATCTAAAACCAATAGATTAATATCGTGGTCCTTTTATTTGTACATACATTAATTTCGTGCCGATCTTAAGGGTTGAAGAATTAAGAGGGCACGTCTCATTATTGCTCAGCATGTGCGCAAGTTTACACGATAAATTATCGAAACGCGCGCGGGTCCCCTCGACGGGGGATGATGATGTATCTGGTGTTTGGAGTTGAGCTAATTTGGCTAACCAATGCTTACAACACAAAATTTAAGATTTTATTAAGGGTGGATTATTGTTCGAGGGGTGGTTTTCTAGGAATTATTTACAATCGTAACCGCAACCCAATGTGGTTGATTCTTTTCATCGTGTACCTAGTGAACAATTCCTATTTTATTGACTTACTCAGTAGCATTGAAATTGTAACCACTCACATAAATTATTACTGTATCAATTTAATTAGAAATGGGCGCGATTTCAGCTTGGATTATGCGCCCATCTTAATTTCTTCGCGATCAATCGGATTTCATTCGAGAAAGAAGGAAATTCTGATCATTATTCACCTTTTAATGAAAGGGATTCACTTGCAAAATATCTACTCAAGAAATTTAATTAGAAATGGGCGCGGTTTCAGCTTGGATTATGCGCCCATCTTAATTTCTTCGCGATCAATCGGATTTCATTGTTGAAAGAGAGAAAGTCTGATCATTATTCACCTTTTAAAGAAAGAGACTCACTTGCACAATTACCAATGAATAAATTTAATTAGAAATGGGCGCGATTTCTACTTTGACTATGCGCCCATCTTAATTTTTTCGGGGTCAATCGGATTTCATTAGGGAAAGAGGGAAATTCTGATGCTTAATCACCTTTTTAAGAAAGACATTGACTTGCACAATTACCAATGAATAAATTTAATTAGAAATGGGCGCGATTGCAGCTTTGATCACCACTGAAAATTTTAATTAGGCACGATTCTTATTTTCTTGGGGCTCATTTGGAACTTTTTCGAGTAAGGAAAGGGGGTCTTACATATTATGTTCTCCTGATACAAATTCCTCTTTTAAGGATTACAAGGTTGCAAGAGGGCGCATGAATGACTGCGTATACCTTTCACTTGTTCTGTTCTTTCGTAAACCTTATAGTTTTGTCCTCCTTTTACAAGTTGAATCATTAGGATCAAAGTCGCAAGAAGTTGGCGAGCTATTGACAGTCACTTTTTCACTTATTATGTTCTCCTGATTGAAACTTATCATTGAATAATTTGTTGTATGAAGCTCAAAGAAGTAAAGGGGTTTCTCTTGATTTTTTTTAATTGACGCCCCAGAATAAAAGTAGCAAAGAGGTGTACACTTATTATGTTCTTGTTCTCCTAATATACATTTTTGTTTTAAGAATGCATCACAAGACGTTGGGAGGTGCAACATTTCCCTATCCAAAACAAGAACTATCAGAAAATGACACCTTCCAACGTATTATGTTCTCCTGATGCAAATCTTTTTTATGTATCAAGATCACAAGAATCCAAAAGTGTGTAAATAAGAGGTAAATTCGCTCAGAAACATCTTTATTATTCCTGATTCAAATTTTTCCCTTCAAAAAGTGATTCAATGCCATAGCGAGAGAAGGATGTTTTAAGAAGAAGTTACGTGACACTTTTTAATGTTTTATGTTCTCCTTGTGTAAATGTTTTTTATGCGGGAACTCAAGATTTTTAAAGCAAGGGACTCGCTTGGCACTGCATAAATCTGATAACTAAATATTTTGTGGGTGAGACCGTAGCATGGGAGGGTGTGGAGGGTATGGAATATCTCCCAATATATATTTAGTATTATGATGGAAATTATCAAGTCCTCCATTGTTGGGGGGTTTGTAGTTGTTTCAGAAACGGTACATGAATTTTCCGTTTGCTGGAGGTTTCTTATACCGTTCAGACCGCCCGGTGCTACGTTATCCTAAAAAATGTTTAGCGATCAGATCTGTAATAATATTTTTTGGAGAGACCCCACCAATACCCCCCCTCCCCCCATATATATTTTATATTATGATGGAAATGATCAAGTTCTCCTTCGGTGGGGGGTTTGTTGTTTTTTTCGGAAACTGCAAATGAATCTTCCTTTTTGCTGAAATTATCGTTACCTATTAATACCTACTTATCATCCGCTCCTAATTAAAATAGTTTCTCACGGATCATGCTTCGTAATACAACCTTTTTTAGTTTGTTGTATCAGGCTCGTAAGAAAGCAGGTTCTTGACAGTCACCTCCTCATATAGTATGATCTCCTAACACAAAGTAAAACTTTCTTACAAATTATGTACTCCTAATACAAAACCTTTTCTTCTAATACAAGAATCATTGTATCAAAATTATCACCAGCACCTGAACCGAAGCTGAAAAATTTTTTCTTCGGGCTTACAAAAGCGCAAGAAGGTGAAAATTAGCACAGTTGTTTTTAAATCGAATTCGAAATGCTTGAAAGTATCAGGTTCACAGAAACAGGGAATCGGGCTCAGAAAATCGTAAACCGTTGGAAATGGAGTTCTGTTTCTTGACAGGCGCCTCCTCATTAATTATATTTGAAGAATTCTTTTTTTTAATTACTCGCTGTATTACAAACGCGTGGATGTGAATAATGTTTTGTTAGTACCTTGCCACAAATTACTTCTTATTTAATAAAAACGTTGTATCAGGCCCGCAGAAACGGAAGATGGTGTATATTGGAATCAGTTTCTTCCAGACGTTTGGCTAATTATATTTCTAAATTTGAGGCGATTTCTTTCTCACATAAGAGCCCCTAATACAAAATTTCGTTTCTAAAAAGTAAAAACGTTGTATTAGGCTCACAGACTCTGTAGAAGGTGTAAACTGGAAACAGTTTCTTGAACAATCATTTGCTAATTTCTTAACCCTCTTCTAAAAATCGCTGTCAGGCGCACAAAAACGCAAAGAGGTGAAAATGGGAAACTGTTTCTTGACTGACACCTCCTCAATTCTTCTTTAAAAAAATCGCTATATTAGGCTCACAGAAACACGGGGAGGTGTAAATCAGGAGTAATGTTTGCTGGTATCTTGTCATTAATTATTTCTTTTCTAATAAAGCGCTGTATCAGGCTCACAGAAATGAAAGAATTACATTTCTTAGGCGCACAGGAACGCGTCGAGGTGTAGAAAATAGTTACAGAAAAGGAAGGTATCAATTGGAAATTAATTCTTGGCATTCGGTGATTTTGTTTCACCGACTATAAAGAAAACCAGTGGCGGCGAGCACCAGGGGGTGGTTGCCATTAAGTATTGAATTTTTAATTGTCCGAGTCGAATTTGGCGGTCGTCGTGGTCGGGGGTGAGTAATAATTCAACGACGTAATTTTCGGACAATTTAATTATATTTCAAAACCACACAACCGCCTATTTTCGGCTGTCATGTAAAGAAGCGCTTAACTTTTCGTCGCAATTGGTCATTGTATTCATGATCGAATTCCCCCCTTTTGTCTCCCCCGTCACTTGGAACGATCAAAACCCCGAAGGAAATAACAAATGACCCAAATAATAAATGTGGTCAGGGCACGTCAACTTCTAAATAAGTTTAGTGGGAACTTGCGACTGTTCTTGACGTTCATCATCCCCCTTTTAGTTTCATGTTTATGTGCGATTGTGGTCTGGTGTCGACACGAAAATGAGATCAGCCTACTTGTTTTTATGTATATAATTCGTTTAAGACATCTAATAGTTAACAATGTACATCTACACAAATTAGATCTTTATACAGAGCCGCGCGAAATTGCTGCGCCGCCTCATCGCTTATAATTATTTACTTACACTATTAATTGATTTGTATTTACATCTTTAAGCCGAGTTTTTTTTATTATACATTTATGCAATGATAAAATTAACTTAAATTAAGAAACTGAGATACACTTGGCACTTTAACAAAGTGGGGGGGTCCGGGGGCAAAACGTGCGGTGCACAAAAGTCGTGTCTTTTGCTTCACTATGCTAAAGTATACAAAAAGGAGAATCAATAGAAACATTGCACAAAAAACGCTCCCTTGAAGGGCAAAATTCGGATAACCAGTCTTCAATTTTCCCGCCGCCCTCTCAATCTCCGCGCGTATTTTCCCGATTTATTCCCTAGCCCTTTTGGCTAAGGCCTTCGCGAGCTACCACACCAGGCCCTCGTTGATCTGTGCCGGATTGTCGGAGAAGCTCCCCGGTGACATGAACTCGGGGCTACCGCCTCGTCCGCCACCACTGCCGCCGCCCTGCATCATCTGCTCGGGACCTGGTCCGCCCTGCTGCGCCATGAAGGGACCGTCGCTACCCATGCCCCCGAAATCGCCGCCCATGGGCATCGGGCCTCCGTGCTCCATCGGTCCACCTGCAGACTTACGTTACAAACCGAAGAGGTTCACCCGTTTACTCACCAGGTTGATTGAAAGGCATCGGTTGTCCGCCGCCCGGTCCGCCCGGGTGGTGACCGGGAAAAAACGGGCTGTCGTGCGGGTGAAAGGGCGGTCCGCCGTAACCGAACTCGAACTTTCCGTCGGCCGTCGCGAAGTACGGAAACCCGGGCGGGCCGTCCTCCAAGCCGCCCGGCGAGAGGTTCATCGGAAAACCGCGCATCTTGCGCGAGGAGCCGAAGAACGGCCCCCGTCCCATCGACGTCAACTGCTTCAGGCGACGCTCCTTCGATCGCTTGTTCTGGAACCAAACCTGCAACAGAAAAACGCCCCGAGTTATCGACATTCCGCCGAAACTTTTATCACCTCCGCCATAATCAAAAACAATAAGTAAAAAATATGCACAGATAAAGTTTGACTTTAATACGCATCCCGTATAAATTCTTCAAAGAATCCGCCTATAAACTATCGACGGTACAGAAAACTTTACACCTGAATATATAAAATATCTATAAAGTCGTAAAACGCGTATTAAAAATAATATTTATATACGTGAAAAGCACCGCTCTGTTCGCTTTTACTGCGATTTTGACTGGTTTATGGCGCCCGCCCGACTCTCCCCCAAACACAAAACTCCATCGGTTCACATAAAAACTACGCGTGAGATTTTTAAGAAACATTTCCTCCCTTTGTAACGAAGGATTCCGACGCTCGCGAAGAAGCGGCCCTCGGGCGGATCCCTGCGGAACGCCGCACAAAGTAAGCGTTTCGCGATCGTAACGTCAAAATTTATGGTGGCGTTTCGAGGAAAAATTCCCGGTTAGAAATTTGAAATATTCGGCGAGGTCGTTTCGTCTCCGCTGCTGTCAACTAATTAGGACTTAATCATATGTTCCATTTTAGGTCAGATTAATACGCGAGTATCTTCGGTGATCGTTACGTTTCCCAAAGTTCCAATTCCCCGTTACTCTAATTCAGAACAACTGGAAAATCGAGATAAGATAAGAAAAATTACATTTTCGACACCCCTATTTTCAGTATGTCAATCAAAAAGAGGGTAGTGTGCTTTAAAAAGATTTGGAATTTGGAATTAATTGAAAAACCTTCCGAAGAATCGCATATGATTTTCAGTAGGGGAATTTTTTGACATTCGGCTCGCATTCGGAAACACGACTTTTAATTCGGCTCATATTCATTAGCACTGATCCTTGAACTCGTAGAAAACGACTGGCGAAGATTTGAAATTGCTATCTCTTTTCGTTCCCGAGTTAGACGAGGAACAGACGGACAGACAGACATGCAAAACCATGATATAATGGTTTTTCCAAAGAAAAATTGTACTAAAAAGGGTCAATGGTCTGTTTTCCCATACCTTTTATGTCTTTCTGTCCCGAATTAATCTTCCCAAAATTTGATCTTTTGGAATACCTCAAGCATTTTCTCGCCTTTTGTATCATGTTGACGTGTGGAACATTCTTCCCCCAAAATATTTAGCTCTTCTAACACTTAGAAAGTTACCATCAAATGGAAGATTGGATGATTTTTTAAAAAAGTATCATGGGAGTCCTTAAGGAGTCTTAAGGCTGAACGTAGTACCGGGGAGTTTGGAGGGTATTATACCCCCCAGCTATTCCCTCTAGCGTACAACAATCTTATGATAGTTGAAGGAAGAGGAACGCCGAATCTTTCTTCTCTCCTGGGGGATATTCCATACCTCCCAGACCCCCAGGTTCTACATTCTTCCCCCAAAATATTTAGCTCTTCTAGCACTTAGAAAGTTACCATCAAATGGAAGATTGGATGATTTTTTAAAAAAGTATCATGGGAGTCCTAAGGAGTCTTAAGGCTGAACGTAGTACCGGGGGGTATGAAAACGCCGAATCTTTCTTCTTTCCTGGGGGGTATTCCAGACCCCCCCGGTTCTACATTCTTCCCCCAAAGTATTCAGCTCTTCTAGCATTAAAAAATTACTATCAAAAGATCGTTTAGGTGTACTGGAGAGTACTGGAGGGTATGGCATACTCCCCAGCCGTTCCCTTTAGCGCACGACAATCCTATGATGAAAAGTGTAATGGAAACCTTGAGGCTGAGCGTTCTTTTTGAAGCATACGGAATTCGAATCGAATAAAATCTCGATGATGGCGGTCTGTCTGTAAATTTGTTTGTCGGTCTGTCTGTCTGTATTCTCATTTCCGGGGGAGCCGAATGTGGTACACATATTCTTTGACATAAAAGGAAGAGTTGAAAAGATTTTCGGTAAAAGATGTGCGGGTGGTTTCTTTCTTTTGTTCCATTTGGATGGGCGTGTAGAACAATAATTACAAAAATAACTCAAAAAAAGGGTGAGTGATCTACGCAAAAAGTTTTTGAAAGTTCCTCCTATCACTCTCTCTTTCTCTTAGTCCCAATTTAATTGAATAATTTTCCCCAATTTTGATTTTTTGAAATATCTCGGGCAATTTCTCACTATTATATGTGTTGGTTGTATAACTATTACAAAAAAGCCCTAAAAAAGGACGAATTAATTGGTTAAGTTTCCAGAAGTTTAGATTTTATTTGTCTCACTTTAACGTAGAATTATTACAAAAAATTTCAAAAATTCAAAAAAAGGACAAAAATGGTTTGCATCAAAATTTTTAATTTGTTCCAAATTAATTAAATAATGACCAAAGTAGGAAATACGTTTTCCTAGTGAACTTTGGGTCTGTAGGGTTCACAAAAGATAAATTTTTCACGTTTCAATGGCTAGGTGAAGGGATTCCTCGAGGGATTCCTGGTGACAGCGCCACACCGTGTGCGTTCGTATCAATATTGAGGTACCGGGTAAATAAGTGGCACCCAATTAATATTGTACTACTCATCAAAAATGGTATAGTAATTACATCCGGCGCGACGGTTCCTCGGGTGGGAACACCAGGTGGTGGTGTTCTCAGCCACCCCTAACTACTTTTATAACACATTGTCGACGTTCTACTTGTTGGCGGAATAAAAATCGCGTTCCAATTTGAAATCCGTGCGGAAAGGCGCACTCTGCGGGTTTTTCGAGCGTGAAAGCCTCGCTTAAAAACGAATATAAATATGACATAATGAGAAACGTCAGATTTGTTTCGTGGGTAAATTTATAGTTAGATGGCGGTCGGTGAAATCATAGCGAGAGTTGATTTAAGAATGATTCCAAGCGCGTCCGAGCAAATGTGAACAGAAATTGTGCGGAACAATGAGGTGTGGTCCCATATGTCTGACTGTATCCATAAAAAGTTTTTCAAACGCTGAAATGTGCCGTCGCCGCCGTTAAAAGCCAGAGAAATCAAAACGAATGGAAAATTTGTCATCGGAGAGCGAGGAATGCCTTTAATGTTTTCTCTATTCCCCCAAGTTAATTTTCCAATTTTATACCGCACATGTCACCGATTCATAATTTGCCAGATAATAAGCACTCATAAAGTTATAACAACCCCATTTACTTGTTAGGACGACAGTAACAACCCCACTTTGCACAATGGAAGATACATTGTCCTTACCCGTGTTAACAACCCCTCACTGCGAGCTACAAAAGGAGTAGGCGTTGTGCATGGCCTTCTGTTGCGTTTTTCGAAATTTCCCTTTCGGGAATTCGCGTTTAATTATACGCGCGACCCCTGGCGGCGCGAAACAGAGACGGATTTTTAAGTAGCCTCTAATGCCGTGACGTGACGAAGCCATAATTTTCGTTTTTAGTGCGCTAAGCCGTTAAAACTACGGCGAACTGGTCCGGGGCCATAACCGCCTTTGTGCGGTAATTATAAGACCGGCAGTTTTTACGATTGTAATTTAGTACTTCGTCTAACTCAAACACTCGGCTGCGCATCTATGAGTTATTATATGTTTTGGGTAAGCACCCTCCCCCGCTCCCCCAACCCCGCGTGCTCGATTTTCACATAATCGTAAAATCGGGTCGATAAAGTCTGGGGCTTTAGCGTGAATTAAGGACGTGCGCGGATAATAAAAGTAATAACCAGTTTCGTGAGAGGTACCGTAAGTTCTTCTTCCGATTTGACCCCAATTTGGAAAAAAACGCGACCCCAAAAATCGTATTCTTTCGCTCGACACCGTGCAAGTAATTAAAAATACTAGCGGGCCTTGTGCGCAACCTTGAGGCGCCCCTAATTCAATTTCTCGTATTTCAAATTTTCGTCAAACAGTTACGCAACATCTCTACTGAAGGGTACAAGGCTGACGAGTGTATTATTACCAGTAGCCAACACGTTGCCTCATCCTGAAACGGTTTGCAGCTTCCCAAGGTGCTCAAAATGACTGGAACTCTCCTCAGTGACTTCAGTATAGTATTCTATACCTTCTGGGACCTTTAGTGTACTGTTTAGGGTTCAGTTTTTCGATTTTTCTTCTCAAATTAGAAGTGCTAATGCCTAAATCATGAGTGCTGAATCCAGAACCTTGATCTGCAGCTTTCCAAGGTACTTAAAATGCTAGGAGTTGTCCTCAGGGACTTCAGTGTAGTATTATGTGGCCTCAGGGACCGTTTAGGATACATAGGTTTCGGTGTTGTTCAATTTTTCTTCTCAAACTTGGAGCATCAGTCTAAATCATGAATCCTGAATTAAATCCTCAATCAGCATTCCAAGGTACTAAAAATGCTCGGAGGTCTCCTCAGGGACTTCATTATAGCATTCTGTGGTTTCAGGGATCTTGAGTTTGGTGTTTGGGGTCCAGTTTTCGAAGTTTTTAGATTTTTCTTTTTAAACATGAAGCGTTGATGCCTAAATCATGAACCCTGAATACCGATCCTTGATCTACAGCTTCCAAAGATACTCTAACTGCTGGGAGCTCCCCTAAAGGACTTCATTGTAGTATTCTCTGCATTCAGGAACCTTTAGTTTAGTGTTTAGGGTCCAGTTGTTGGAGGTTTTTAATTTTTTTTCTGAAACATGAAGCGTTGATCCCTAAATCACGAATCCGGAATTCAAATCCTTGGTCTGCAGTTTTCCAAGGTACTCAAAATGCTCCCCTCATGGACCTCATTGTAGAATTCTGTGCGTTCAGGGACCTTGGGTTTAGTGTTTAGGGTCCAGTTTTCGGAGTTTTTCGATTTTTTTCTGAAACTTGACAGTAAATCTTCAATCTTCACGCCTAGATAGTGAATCCTGACCCAGATTGCTGATCTGCAGCTTCCCAACCCAAGGTACTCAAAGTACTTGGAGTATGCCATTTGGGCTAAACGAAACACTTTTAGTACAGCTAGTGTTAAGAATCAAAGTGACTCAATAAAGAAAATACTAAGAAGTGATAATTTCTATTTCTGGGAAGCGTGAATGTGAAAAGTTTGAGGCATTAGTTTTTCGATCGCTTTGAAGTGGCGTTTCGTAATTTATTTCGAAAGAACTCGAGAATCTCGAAACCGGACCGTAACTAATCGCCGGTTTTTACCTAAACGCACTCGCTCGCACGCACCTCGCGCGCTATTTATATATTAACATTGTAGCGCGTAAATTGGATTTAGTGTGGTCCACCCCGAAATAACTTCGTACCATAATTAAGTCGCGCATTTTTTTTATTGTCACATAAAAAGGAGCCACAGTTATAAATTAGGCGTTAACAAGTGACCTCGTTTTTGTTCTCTTTGTCCTCGGCTTTTCTTTTTCGACGTGCTTGGCTTTTGTTTCTGCGGAGACGCACCGAATGCCTTGGGCGATCGACGGGGGACCACACCGTCAGTGGAATTCACAAAGACCCCCTGGCGCACGACGGACATACAAAGACGAGGGTGTGTGTATGTGGATTTATAATGCAAGCGGGGTTGTTTGACCCATTCGTTGCGGTCATATTTTTAAAATATTAATCTCTCTTTCGTTTCGATTTTTTTTTAATTTCTAACGGGTCCGACGTTTCCGCCCCAAACGCAGTGCAAATTTCACGGGGTCCTTTTATCGCCAGCTGCACGGCGTACAACATCGCAGGGGATGGAAAAATGAAACAGTTTCTTTTAAATCGTGCGGTAAATAAAACGTACATACTTTTTGAGTACTTGTGCCAAGAAATGTCATTTGGAGCCCTCAATGCTCAGGGTCTTCAGGAGGTTGTGGTTTAAAGTTCTGCAAGTCTCCTCAAGTTTAGTTTAGATTTTGTCTGCGTTTCAGGATCATCCTCAGTCTCTGAGGACCCAGAGATTCGAAACATTCCGAAACATATTTTAGGGTCTTTCTACAGGGGTTACACATCTTCCATACAGCATTTACAAGTTACTTTTTAGTCCAGGATAAAACTTAAAACTCAGAAGCCTTTAATTTTCAAGGGCAAAAGGGATTTTAAGCCTTATAAGTTATATTTCATGACTCAACACCTTGTACGATATAATCTAAAGAGATAGCATATTAAATTAACTTTTTGAAAATACTGAGAAAATCCAAAATATTTAATCATTCTAAACGATTCAAAAAATATTTTAAAAAACCCAAACATTTGGATTTATTTCCATCTTTTTGAATCTTTTTTTAGTTTTGTATATTTTTTGGAATTACTTATCTTGTTTAAATATTATAAAAAATGTATATCCGTATTATTATTGATTGTGGATTTTTAAAAATGAGTATACGGGTTCAGTTCTTGGAAATCATTTGATAAATGGAACACCCTGTATATTTTAAACTACAGATATCGCTTGGCAAATTCTCTTTTCAAAAATGTAAACTGAAAAAATTCAAAAAGATTCAAAAAGATTGTTAAACATTTTAAAAAACCCGTTGGAAATTATTTTGTCTTTTTGAATCATTTCAACCTTTCTTTTAAACGTTGTTAAATCTTTTTTGAATCACTGGAATCTTGTTGATGAATTGCTCCATTTTAATTAGTGTGTGGCTAATAGTAGACGAATGTATTACACTAATTTTTATTGAAAATGTTAGTTGATAGCGACCAACTAACATTTTCAATAAAAATTAGTGTAATACATTCGTCTACCACTGGAATCTTTTTTAAGTAGTATATAAAAATGTATATCATAAACGTTTCTCGAAATTGATTGTTGAAAAATTTACGCTTTTGAAAATAGGTATTCTGGGTCAGGTAAACAAAGTTCTTGGTCTTGTTACATGGAACATCCTGTATATTTTAACCTAAAAAGATAGTATACTAAATTCTCTTAACAAATATAACACCGAAAGAATCTTTCTGAATCATTTCAACCTTTTTCTTAAATCTTTTTTTAATTTTTTGAGATCACTTGAATGTTTTTTTAATATTATGGAAAAATATATTATGACAGTTTCTTGAATATGATTGTTGAATAATCTGACCTTTTGCAAACGAGTATACGCGGCCAGGTAAAAAAGTTCTTCGACCTCATCTCTATTGTTATATAGAACACCTGCATATTAAATTCTCTTTTCAAAAATATAAGTAAAAAAATTCAAAAAATTTAATATTGGTTGGAAAAATAAATTTAATTTAAAATAAAAATTTTGAATCGTATTCAACTTAATTCGTTTTTGAACATTATGGAAATTGTGTATTATAAAATTCTTAAAAATGATTGTTGAATAATTTGCCGTTTTGAAAATGAGGATATGGGGTCTGGTAGAAAACTTCTTGGACCTAACTCCATTTGTTAAATGGAACACCCTGTCTATTTTAATCTAAAAGAATAGCATATCACATCTTTTTTCCAAATCTTAAAAAATCCCTGTTCGACATTTTTAAAATCTTTTTTGAACTTTTTTAATATCCCTGGTTGTTTTTAAAGAGAGGATTTAATATGCCATATTTTTAGATTAAAATATATAGGGTGTTCCATTTAAAAAATGATGTTAGGTCCGATAACTTCTTTACCTGACCCCGTATACTTATTTTGAAAACGAGAAATTATTCAACAATTTCTATATCACTAGAGAAATATAGGGTCATTCTGAAATTGACATTTTTTTTAAATATCCCCAGTAGCGAGTGAGTATTTACAAATTTTGATTTTACCATTTTAAGTTTAATCTAAAAAGAGCACATGAAGCCTGTTTTAAGACAACATTAACCCTATAAAAGTGTCGAAAATGGGACACCCTGTATTTAGCAATTTCGGTTCACTTAATCGATCTTTGCGCGAACTCAGTTTCTTTAATATGAAATAATTGACTCTATTGGCGCATAATGTGCGCTCCTTTGATCTCTACTATATACGTCGCAAAGAAACTTTTGGTTCTTCGAATTATTCGAATACCGTTACAAGACGAGTAGGCGCCGGGCAAAGTTTTCGAAAATCGCATTAAATCCGGAAAGGCGAAGTCACGTGGAAAAGAATGCGTCCTAAAGTAACGGGCGGTCGACACCCGACGAGATTGTCCCTCGAGATAAAGCCGGATCGGATGACATTTCGCCCAGCTACACGTGTTTACGATATCATTTACAAGAGACGAGCCGCTACTTGTTAGGACCTACCTGTATCACTCGCATCGGCAGGCCCGTCTCCTTCGCGAGCTGCTCCCGTATGTGCCGCGTCGGTTTCGGCGTCTGCGAGAAGGCCGTCTTCAGGATCTCGAGCTGTTTCGCCTTGATCGTCGTTCGCGGACCGCGACGCTTCGAACCGGCGCTGCTGTCGTCCGGACTTTTGTTTTCCGTCTGCGAGTCGCGCGTTTCCGGATCGCCGTCGAGCGACGTCTGGTCCTCGGAGTCGTCCTGACCGGCCTTCGCCTCCTAGATTAGAATTGCGTCAGCGACATCTGGCAAGCGGTCCATGGGAAACTTACCGTTCCTATCGTACTGCTGATGTCCGAGTGCGGCAGGGAGTTGTTGTTCGTCTCCCCCGGAACCGGGGGTAGCGAACCGTGGAGTGAGTGATGCTTTAGGACCGAAGAGGTCGTGCTGTTATCGTCGTCCTCGTCATCCTCAGACGCCGACCCCAATAACGGATCTGTAAATAAGAATGGTCGAGGCGCATCAAAATATTAACATATTTCAGCCGTCGCGGTCGGCGGTCCGAAACTAAACTTTTAACACACTGACACTGACTGCAGAAGAGAGAAGGGTTAAAGGTTACCCGAAGGCGATTTTCACGCGGAGCGCGCGCGCTATACGGCTTATGACCGCATTTTTTCGTAATTGCCAGGGAGAACAAGGAAAAAGGCTTTTCCCGCCGGCTAGATCGATAGAGAAGGGCGAACACACCGAGAAATCCCCGTCCATCAAGTGTCACTTTGACATCTGCCTGACGTGTAGCGCCGGATAAGTTTGTACATGACGTGACTGGGTTTTAGAAATGCTGTCCGTTTCGGAGAGGTTGATGTTTTAACGTTTTAGAATATTGCAAGAATGTCCTTGAATTAGCATTTTTTTTTCTTTACGTTCGTTTAACAGGTTGTAAGAATGTGACCTCAATTTCCCAACCGTTTTCCGCTTCGAAAAATCAATTTCGATTGCGATTCGTCGGAAAGTCAAAAATTGAAAGTCTCGGGTCTCTTGACTTGGCAATTTAAGGTTGAAACGAATGCTTAGTCATGGTTTTAATTGATAAAACTGTTGCAACCCCACGAGCACGGCGTGCAAGAATAAAATACGTTAACGCTCTCGCAATGGTCTAATAGTTTGCAGTTGGCAGAATACTGCACATTCTGAATTTGGTGTCTGAAATGGGAAAAAAACCTTTTTTCTTGCAAAAAAGACCGAGAAAGGCGTTGAAAATCATCTGCTCGGCAAAGAACATTGAAAGCTTAGGAGAGAGTCTTGAGAGACTTCAACAGTCCACAAGGTTTTGGGAAGCTATCCATTTTGCTCTACTCGATTCGCGATTTTTTACACGTTTTTAATAAGGTTTCTTTAGTATTCTCCAAAAACTTAGAGCTCATACAGAGTCTTTTAGCCCTTTTCCAAAACTTCATTTCATTGGACCTTGTCTTGGTGCATTAGAAGACCTTGTATGTCTTTGAAGAGCCTTTCAGCTCATTTTCAAAGACCTTAAAGGGGTGTAGAATACCTCCCAGTCGACGACAGTTTTATTGCTATCCCCAAAAAACCACCATGAGGTTACTGACACTTATAGAGAAAGGGTTATAGAGTTTTTCTTTGTTGGGTGGATTTAAATCTTCGCTATAACCCTCCATAACGCTTTCTCTTTGAGCCTCAATAACCTCATGGTGTATTTTGGGGAGAGCAACAATATTGTCGTCGCCTGGGAGATATTCCATACCCCCTAGACGCCCTGGTGTTTTGCACTACTTCGTAGGTCAACAAAATCTGATTATTCCTTCTCAAAACTTATCATGAGAGTGTTACCGGGGTGGTGTTGACTGTTGACGACAGTTGTATTGCCTCCCAAACAAGCCACCATGAGGTTACTGACATAAAGTAGAGGACAACAAACCTGTCGTTTCCTGGGGGAATCCCTTCCGGTGGTACGTTTTCTGCAGTACTCCTGGTGGTGGTGGTAAAAATTGTGTTAAATTACAAATTGTTTTGTAAAAGAGTAACAGAATTTTGATGTCTAATTGACGGTTGAGGCTGAGAATGAATTGTGCACTTTGGGAGTTTTCAAAATCCCCCCACGGTTTATTACAGCCTTCCAAGGTGGTCCATAATTCATTCACACCCCCAATATTCCTCAATAATTTTAGAATCTTCAACTAACTTGAGCTACAAGCTAATTCATTACCTTAATTTCCGAGTAATTAGTTGAGTACTAATTGAATTGCCTCTAATTAGCACTCAATCTGTAATAATTAAGGGCAATTTAGGCCTTTGCCAGTGGGTCCGAGTTCTATACCCCCAAAATTAGCATTTGGCTTTCTGTTGGAAATAAACGTGTAGAAATCCGAGTTAAAAAAAAGGATAATGCTAAGAAGTAATCGCCTTAAGTCAATCTTTTCCTTTTTTATTCAATCACATAGGTACTCGCGCACACAAACATTTTCATAATCACATCGGCTCCGAAGAAGAACCCCAGCGAGTGTAAACTGCGTAGGCGTGCAGGTGTGAACATCCGACCACGATGTGTATGATCCCATACCAATAAAGAATGGTCCGGGGCTCGCGGGGAATAATATCTTGTTTCGCAGCGGGCCCCTCACTAATTGGGGTTTGTTGCGGCGGACCTCATGGGGGTCACTTCTCGAAGTAATTGGATGTGGAACGTTCCAGTTGACCTTCTTGTTAAGATTATCTCCTCGAGATCTTTATAAAAGAAGAATAATTCGCCGCCCTCCATCGCGTCGATCGATTCGACAAACGTGTCGGGTAAACATCCGAAGGACTTCGCAGTTTTGGGCAAATATTGACAAGGCGCTTTCGCAAAGATGCCCCTTTAAAGTCGCGTCCAATTTCGATCCCCCTTTCCTGTTTGGTAATCGATTACACTTAAGTTGGTAAAAACACTTTATTCGAGTGTTGACACTGGGAATTACAACTCAATTGTCATCTCTACTGTTATTAAATGGGGTGGCCGATCAAGTACCTACCCGCATATAAATTGCAGAAACAATGCCGTAATTTTACTGTAAAAGAAGTGCGGTGGGAAGCGCCAGAACACCTGAGGATACTTTTGGCACTTCGTTTTGGTTTATTGCTTACGTGGGTCGCGCTCGCCCCATTCACGAGAGACTAATTTTATTTTCCTAATATGAATGTGTCCAATTCAATTAGCATAAACCCCGTGATTATCATTATTTTGTGGACGACGTACGATTTTTGTTTTTGTATCATAAATTATTCATATACTTACAGCGATAAATTCGCTCCCTCTCCATCGTTTTAACTTATTACAATGCGTTCTGTCCATAAATCAATATCGCCGGAATGAAATGGGGCTGCGAAACGCGATTTGGGTCAAAACGGCACATTAATCACGGGATCGGGCAACGAAAATAATCCGGCGAAGAACTACCTCCGACGAAACATCTACTTTCTCCACCACCATCCCCACACAACGCGACACCGCGTAGGTTTCTTTAGTATCAGGAGAACAGGAAGAATCTGTAGTCCTGATACAATAATTTCTACAAAAAATTCTTAGGATACTTTTTTGAAAGGTGCAAGCCATCTAATAAAGTGCTCCAAAGTTATTCACGCGCAGTTTTTTATCTCCTGCGCTCCTGATATAACACATTATTGTAAGCATGCCTCAAGTTAGGGACGTATGACGTGAGAAAGTACTTTAGAATCCATTTACTCTTTCACTCACGTGCTCCTGTCATAGTAGAATTCCGAAAGCTATAGAGTACGTGTGTAGCAGTTTTAATCTCATGGTTCGGGCTTTCCTGTTCTCCTAGGTGGTGCAACAGATTGTTGCAAACGCGTCTTAAATTTCAAGGAATACATAACTTAAGAAGTACTTTGGAATTCATTTATGCTGCATTGCGTTATGTGCTCCTGATTTTTGTGGAATATTCTATAATGTTTTGATCCACACAGAGCATCTTCTCTCTTGCGCTCTTGGTATAACAACTGATTCTAAGCACGTTTGAAATCCCAAGGGATGTATGACAGGAGGAAGTACTTTAGAATTTATTTACGTTACCTTGGACTCATGTGTTACTAATATAGTGACAATTGTGGAAGATTCTAAAAATATTAATCCGTACAGTTTCTTTCTGGCCTGTGCTCCTGGTACAACAGATTATTCTAAGCATATCTTTAGTTCCAAGAAATGTATGACGTGAGGAAGTAATTTTGAATCCATTTAGGCTGCGCGGCACTCTTGTGCTCCTGACTACCAGGAGAACATAATCGTGTTCTGTGCACCCAGAGAAATGTTTCAATAATTTATTTTCGTTTAGGTATTTATATCAGAAACGTGTAGATAATCTTGCTAGAAGGTATTTATCCTCTTAATTGATGAAATGTTGTACATTTTCACTGTCTACCAGGAGAACATACTGCCTGAGGAAGTCGTTTTTTGATCAGGGGTTTCTTTTTGGAAATTTTAGATTGTGAATGGAGGGGTATAAACTATAATTGACCCTGAGGGGTTGTAGGGAGTCTCGAAATTTGTAAATATCGCGATGACAATGAACATTCAATTTATATTATACTATAAAATAATGTATTGGTACATAAATTGTAGTAATTTGAATAATTACAGGTAATTAGATGTAATTGCATTGTAATTACAGGTAATTATACAGTAATTCGCCTTAATTGGCCCAACAGTTTTATTCCTACAAATGATTCTGAACACTTTTGGGCACGTAAGACTTTTATAGGGGGTACGTTTCGAGATGACGTACTGTTAAATAATAAAAAAAGAAGGGGAATGCGGCTAAAACGATTATCACGTGAATTTAAACAGTCGTAACTTAAAAACGAATGAAAAAAAAGTAGGTTAAATCATACCATGTAACAATTAACGTCAAAAATAATGTGTTCAAACATGTAAAAAATAGTTCTTATCCTAAAACAACCATTAAATTATCATGATAAAGCTCAGCCGCTCCCACGAAATCCTCCTTCATTAAATATTTATAAGTTTTAAACCGCAGAGGATCATATGAAAAATGGGATTTTCTTTCAAATCACACAGACAATTATTTGCGTTGAAGTTTTCCCAAATTTATAAATTAAATTATAATTCGAACTAGATGCACGAGGTGGTAATTTTATCGTTCGAATTTGCATTTGACAAAAATTCGGTATCGTGACGCGCGCGCGAGTGGATTAATCGTCCCGCGGTGCGCGAGATCGTGATTTTTTCCGATTAAGTTATTACTCGGATTGTGGGATTTGTAATTACTCGGGCCGTAATTGATTTATATAAATTAGTCTCCGAAGGTAAATAATTTAAGTCGTGCCCAACGGAAATTGTGGTGTTCAGATTTATAGGGTGTCGAAGTTGCCCTGCACGTACCGCGCGTTTCGACCTGGGTCCGAAATTGGAATAAATCGCAGGTGTTCGAATGTAATTTAGACGTGAATTGAAGATCTACT